ATCTCTGTGTTCTATAATGGATACCGATATGCATTGATATTACTTTATGTGAAAAAAAGGTAGCAGAACATGTATTTGTCATTTTGACTTACTGACTATTCCATTTTGAACTATACCAATGGCACTACTTTTTTGTAATAATCAGTAATGTCATATGCATATCTGTATCTATGACGGAACATCTCCTCAGTGACTGTATTTTAAAAATATGTTTAAACGAAATGTTTGTTCTGTTGGATAGGAAGAAGAGAAAAGAGCATTCTATGCTAACCAAATGCACCGTCCTTCCTGTGTTGATATTGAAATGCAGTTGCGCCAATTGATGAATCTACGCAAAAAGACTGGTGGTTCCATTCTTGGACAGGTCAGTTTAAATGACACATGACTTGTACTTGTATTGAGGCATAAGTTCCTTTTGTACCCCCATCTCTAAACCCTAGCCCTAACTCTAACACTTACTCCCAGTTACCCAATTCATTTGTATATGCCCTCTTTAGATAACTATAGATGTCCTTTAATAGGAGGGGCATGTACAATTAAATGGGGAGTGCTGGAGGGTAGGGTTAGGGTTGGGGATGGGGGGTACAAAAGGAACTCTTTCCGGTTATTGACTCCCGTGTGTATCTGTTCCACTAATATCTCAAGAACCAATTATCAGATTTCAATGAAACTTGGTACATATATGCTCTGGGGTAATGCTCCAACCTGACTAGTTTTTGGTTGAAATCTGTGCCTAATAATTACCTTATTTGCATATTGATTAGCCAATTTTAATCCCCTCAGTTTTTTGTCAAGAACTACCTAACAGGTGTCTATGACTCTTGATACATAGATGGTGTATTTTATGTGTTTATATCTTCTACTTACTAAGTCAACCATACATTGGTATTATGTTTGTCAGTTGTTGTATTTATTAAGGATTTATAGATACAGCAGGTCATATTGTTTTTGCTATGTTGAATGTCAAAGTTTTCAGAGCCATTCATATATTTACATGATTTCTTTTTCTTCTTCAAGGTACATCTGGAAATTGCCAAGTATCATCAGAACGGGCGTTTTTCCAAATCATTGACTGATGACAGAGATTTGGAATCTGCTTTGTTCCATCTGAATCAATCAGCAAATTGTGGTGTATTAGAAGGTATCATAGCTGTGAGTCACATCTATCTACAGTTACCAAATGATGTCTTACCAGAGGTGACTGTAAAGGTAAGTGCCATAAAGAGGGGGGGGGGGGGGCAAGGGGGGTAACTGGTACAGTTTTACGGGAAATTAAAGGGGCTTTTTACAATTTACAAGGGAAAAAAGACGTTTTTACAGTTTACAGTGAAAATTGAATGTTTACAGAGAAAATAAAGGTTATTTTACATTTTATGGAAATTAAAAAAGAAAACCTAGAAAATTCTTGTACGTACCGTAAAAAATCATACATTTTCACAGTGTACGAATAAAATATTTGATTGATTACGTTGTACGTCTAGCCTGTGATTACAGAATAACGGAATTTATTTTTTCAATTTACATTGTACGAACAAAAAAATATTGCAATTACTTTGAACGTTGCGCCCCCTCCATAAACAGTATTGTTAATATCATTTAACTAATGGTAACAGCAAACTAGCAGAATAAAAAAGATAAAAATGCTGGATTTTAAATATGCCACAAATGGCAACCCAACCTTTTGAATCAACAAATATAGCATGGTAAGAGACTTGATGACGATAGATTTTTGCATGTTTTCAGCAATCTGAGGAGAACACCAATGTCGGTATGGATTACATGGAGATGGCTGCAGAAGCTGGTGACAGAGAATGCATGATATACCTAGCTAAAGCATATGAATCTGGTGATGGACTGGGCACTAACAGGTAGGAACAGCTGCCCCCGTATGAATATGTATGTTTTATCTTGCTACTGGACATTTCGAAAAAATTGTTGAAACCAAAATTATTATCTAACTGTGAGGCCGGTACTGTTGGCTCTTGAGTTGGAATATGCTTTGTCGATTTCAAAAACCCTGTGAAAATATTCTCGGTATTTGTGTAATTAGGTGTTCATATGCAAGCGATTTTCTACAAAAAAACAAAAAATTCAACCAAATTTTGTTAGTGGTTGTCGTAATCTTGTAAACAGTTTGTTTGGCTGTGAAAGTTTGGTATTTGTTTCCTGATTGGTAGGAATCTGAAAAACCTGTTATCAACTTGTCCCTTTAGTTTCAAGTTGTAGCCAAGATGGCTGCCCCCCTTATAGTAAATATCGATAAATTAATCCTATTTATTTTATTATGACTTGTACGCCAGCTGACTGTGCACACATATTGGGTCATAGGGATATCATTCTGTTTTTCTGAGATTGCATAATTCAATTCACTATCAGTACAATGATTCTACATACCGAATTTTGGTTGTACATTACATGTTTGTGTGATTCAGACAAATATGCCCATTACAGTATATTGCCAGAAATGACTGATCGCATCACAGTACTATTTACACGGCTGGATTGCTGTTAGTGATGGAATTTGGCATTAAATACGGAACCGGGACTGTGAATTGTTTTTGCTTGTTAATTCCCGTTCGAACGCAGTCCGAAAACAGGGACTTATGTTTTGACCTCCGTGTGTGTGTCTGTGCGTGCGTCCGGACCTGTATCTTTGAAATGCCTGGACCAATCACAATCAAACTTCACACATACATCATACATATGCATGTCAATTTGTTTCATGATCTAATTCAAGATGGCCGAATGGCGGCCATTTTTGTGCTAAAAATCATCAAAATCGAGCATTTCCCAGTTGTTTACAGATGGATTTCGTTCAAACCTTGTATATACGTTGGACATTATGGGACCTTGATGCTAATAATTTAGTTTTTCAGATAACATTTAAAATGGCCGACTGGCGGCCATTTTGTATTAATCAATGTGGTTCTCGTGCCATATCTCCAGCTTGTTGACTCCCATGTGCGAAGCACATAATGGGAGTCTTTGCAGTTAGTGTGTCTGTCTGTGTGTGTGTGTGTGTGTGTGTGTGTGTGTGTGTGTGTGTGTATGTGTGTATGTATGTGTGTCCGACTGTTCCACTGCTATCTCAAGAACCATACATCAATTTTTGATGAAACTTGGTGCATAGATGCTCTAAGCCAATGAGCAGATTTGATTAGGTTTTGGTAAAAATCCATGCTCGTTAATTACCTAATTTGCATGATAATTAGCTAATTTTTAGCTGTTCTATGACTGTTCCACTGATATCTAAAGAACCACTCATTGGATTTTGATGAAACTTGGTAAATAGATGCTCTGAACAAATGCGCAGATTTGATTAGTTTTTGGTAAAAATCCGTGCATATTAATTACCTAATTTGCATGATAATTAGCTATTTTTTAGTGGTTCCATGA